CCGGCAAGTGGTTGCTGCGGTTGATGCTTGGAAACATGCCGATTTCTTTGCCAGAAACTACGTTTTGAACGGACTTGACAACACATTATACAACGTCTACAGTCCAATCAAGACAACAAAGGAACTTTGGGAATCGTTGGAGAAAAAGTACAAAACGGAAGATGCCGGCTCAAAGAAATTTATGGTTGGCAGATTCTTGGATTTTGTAATGGTTGATTCAAAACTGTGATCAGCCAAGCTCAAGATTTCTAACTCATTCTGCATGACATTCACGCAGAAGACATGTCTCTCAGGAATCCTTCCAAATTGCAGCCTTAATTGAAAAATTACCAAAAGACTGAAGAGTTCAAGAACTACCTCAAACACAAGCGCAAAGAAATTTCTATGGGCGAATTAATTGTGCGTTTTGAGAATTGAGGAGGACAACCGCAATTCTGAAAAGCGGGCTGGTATGCATCCTATGGAGTCTGAGGCAAATGTGGTGGAACATGTTCAAAAACCAAGAAACGAAAGTCTTCTGGAGAAGTTCATTACAAGCTCTAAAGGGGGGGATAATAAAAAGTACAAGTTTAATGGCAAATGTTACATCTGGACAAAGAGGGACATCGGGCCAAAGAGTCGTAGCAAAGGCAAAAGCAAAAGCAAAAGAAGAACCAGCAAGAAGCCTGCTCAAGCCCACATGACTGAAGTGGACAATATTTCCAATGGTAATAGATGATATCAATCTTTCTGCAGTTGTTTTCGAGGTAAATCTTGTCGGAAATCCTAAAGAAGGTGGGTGGACACTGGTGCTACTCGCCATATTTGTGTCGACAAAAAGATGTTCACATCTTATTCTATAGTGGACAATGGTGAACAACTCTTTATGGGCAACTCCTCAACTTCAAAGTTGAAGACAAGGAAAGATTGTACTCAAGATGACATCTGGAAAGGAACTCACTCTCAACAATGTGCTGCATGTACCGGACATTCGCAGAATTTAGTTTCCGGATCTTTGTTGAGTAAGAATGGGTTTAGGCTAGTTTTTTAAGTGACAAGCTTGTACTTACCAAAAACGGGATGTATGTAGGTAAAGGTTACATGTCTGATGGCCTTTTCAAGTTAAATGTAATGACCATTGTACCTTCAGTTATTAATAATACTACTCTTCTTCTTACTTGCTTGAGTCTTCAAATTTATGGCATGGTAGACTAGGACATGTTAATTATGGATCTTTGCGTAGATTATTAATATGAAATGTTTACCTAAAATTTAACATTGATTCAAATCATAAATGTGAAGTTTGCGTTGAGGCAAAATTATCTAAAACTCCTTTTCATTCAATTGAAAGAAGTACGGAACCACTTGAATTAATTCATAGTGACATTTGTGATTTTAAATCAATTCAAACTAGAGGTGGGAAAAAGTATTTTATCACTTTTATAGATGACTGTACTAGATATAGTTATGTTTATTTAATTCGAACCAGGATGAAGTTTTGGAAACTTTCATTCAATATAAGAATGAAGTTGAAAATCAACTTGATAAGAAAATCAAAAACTTAGAAGTGATAGAGGTGTGAATATGAATCACCTTTTGATGGTGACAGTTTTTGTAAAGAACATGAAATAATTCATCAAACCACCGCTCCTCACTCACCTCAGCAAATGGAATTGTTGAAAGGAAAAATAGACTTTAAAGAAATGATGAATGCCATTGTTAATCAGTTCTGGATTACCTCAGAACTTATGAGGGAAGCAATACTTTCTGCTGATTATATTTTAAATAAAGTACCCCGAAAGAAAGTGAATCAAACACCTTATGAAATGTGGCATGGTAGAGTACCATCCTACAAATACTTAAAAGTGTTGGGTGTTTGGCTAAAGTGGCTATTCCTAGTCCTAAAAAGACTAAGATAGGTCATAAGACATTGATTGCATTTTCATTGGTTATGCCAAGAATAGTAGTGCATATCGGTTTTGATTCATAAATCAGAACATTCCGAAATGCATGTAAATACTATTATTGAGTCTCGAAATGCATCATTCTTTGAACATGTTTATTCCAAATAAACTAGACAAGAGACTAGTAATAATAAGAATCTTTTGATACTATTACTAGTAATAATCAAGAGCAAAGAATTAGACCAAATGAGGAGAAGAACCTAGGGTAGTAAACGTGCTAGAACCTCAAAATCTTTTGGTCCAGATTTTTCTAACATTTTTTGTTAGAAAATGAGTCTTTAATTTTAAAGAGGCTATGTCCATCCTAAAGCTCCTTTATGGAAAGAACTGTCAACAGTGAAGTTGAATCCCACTTGCAAAATCACACTTGGAAATTAGTGGACTTGCCACCAGGTTGTAAACTCTTGGTACAAGTGGATTCAAAAGAAAATTGAAAGCGGATGGATCAATTGACAAATACAAGGTAAGACTTGTGGTCAAAGGGTTTAGACAAAAAGAAGCCTTGATTACTTTGACACATACTCACCGGTTACAGAATAAATCCATTAGAATGCTAATTGCCATTGTATCTCTATACAATTTAGAAATTCATCAAATAGATGTTAAACTTGCTTTCTTAAATGGTGAGTTAAATGAAGAATTTACATGGAACAACCAGAAGGGTTTTCTGTTCCAGGAAAGAAAAGAAGTGTGTAAATTGGGTTAAATCATTATATGGTTTAAAACAAGCGCCAAGTAATGGCATGAGAAATTTGACAAGGCAATGATGTCAAATGGATTTAAAAATTAATGAGTGTGACAAATGTGTTTATATTAAAAAACAAATAAAGGTTATGTCATTGTATGTCTTTATAGTAGATGATATGCTCATCATGGTAGTAATAATGACATGATTAAAACTTACCAAGAAAATGTTGAATAAACATTTGACATGAAGGACATGGGCATTGCTGATGTAATACTTGGTATGAAAATTACCAAAACATCAGAAGGATATGCTTTGTCACAATCTCATTACATTGAGAAATACTTGACAAATTCAGCAAAGATGATGATCATCTTGTAAGAACACCTGTACGATATTAATTTGTATCTTTCTAGAATGTACAGGAAAATATTTCTCAATTAGAGTATGCCCAAATTATGGAACATTAATGTACTTGATGAACTGCACTCGCCAGATATAGCTTATGCAGTAAGTAAATTAAGTAATATACGAGTATCCGGGGAGTAGAACACTGATTCTCTCTCTTTTCCACTCCTTGCATCTCCTCCCACTTAGTCAACTCTTCCCCACCAATTGCCCCCATTTCTCACCCTCCCTCTTTTTTTTCACAAACCCACCTCCATTAATCCAAAAACTTAATAACCCATTATTCAAATAATTAGCACCATTTCACTCACTCTATTGCCTGCTTTCCAATCATGGAAGACAGTTAAGATGTTAACACAAGGTTGCTGGGCTAGCCTTAATAAACATATCTGAACTTCCCATAATCAAATTTTAATCAGTGGCGGTGTGACAGAAGGGCTACATTGATACTCGGGTTGAAGCCCAAGAAATTTTGTAATTGAAACCAAGTGAATTCAAGGGAAGTCAGAGGGTCAAACTGTAATTCACCCAAAATTAAATAAGACTCTTTCTCTCCCCCCACTATCAGTGTAAACAGGGTTTATGGCAAGGACAATGACTTCAAACAGTATACAAATTTTGTTTATGCACTTTGAAAATGGCCCAGCTTGCTTTCTTCTAAACTTTACTCTACAGTCCCAGAAGCACTCAATAAAGGTCCAAAGTAGTAAGAATGGCAAAGCATATTTGGAAACCAGGAATCATGTAAAAGGGAGATTTAGTATTAAATGAAATCAGTAACTCAAATGTAATCAAACCCAAATTTCTTACAAATTTTTCAATCGAATCTCAATAACATCTACATTCAAATCATCAAGCACAGGGCTTTAACAAAGATACAAAAAAACCCAATTTTTTTTATAAAAAAACATACAAGGGAAAGGGAAAAAAGCAGAGATAATCAACAGAGAACCAAACATTTGTGTGTGTGTACCTATCTATCAATGAGAAGAGAGTACAGAGAGAGATACCCAGATGGAATAGGATCAAACCCTGAAGAATAAAGAAATAATAGAAGCAAATAGGAGAAAGAGAAAAGAGCTCACATTCACCAGAAGAAGCAGTAAAGACTGATAAAAGAAGAAGAAGCAGCAATAGACCCATTGATTTTTAGACTTTCTTCTTAGCTCCAAACTTTCAATCTTCGAAAACCATAGAAACCCACTGATGTGAAATCTCAAAGAAACGAAAAAACGAATCTGTGATGGTTTATCACAATCTCATTAGATTGAGAAAATACTTGACAAATTCAGCAAAGATGATGATCATCTTGCTAGAACTCCTGTAGATGTTAATTTGTATCTTTCTAAGAATGTACAGGAAAGTATTTCTCAATTAGAGTATGCCCAAATTATTTGAAGCTTAATGTACTTGATGAACTGCACTCGCCCAGATATAGCTTATGCAGTAAGTAAATTAAGTAGATATACGAGTAATCCGGGAGTAGAACACTGGAAAGCAATTATAAGGGTTCTTAGATATCTCTGATTCATTCGTAACATTGGGCTTAATTATACTAGATATCTAGCAGTACTTGAAGGATACTGTGATGCAAATTGGATATCGGATACAAGAGACTCAAAGTCCACTAATGGGTATGTCTTTACTCTTAGTGGGGCGGCTGTATCTTGGAAATCTTCCAAACAGACTTGTATTGCTAGGTCTACTATGGAATCTAAATCATAGCTTTAGACAAAGCAGGGGAAGAGGTAGAATGGCTTCGCCACTTCCTTGAAGATATTTCAATATGGCCAAAACCGGTGCCTGTTATATGCATACATTGTGATAGTCAATCAGCAATTGGTAGAGCACAGAGTCATATGTATAACGGTAAGTCTCGACACATTCGTCGTCGACATAATACCGTAAGACAACTACTCTCTAATGGAATTATGTCCATAGAATATGTTAAGTCTAAAGACAACATAGTGGATCCACTAACCAAAGGGTTAGCAGGAGAGTTAGTTAAGAATTCATCGAAGGGAATGGGACTAAAGCCTATTAAATAAGAGTTACCACAATGGCAACCCAACCTAGTTGACTGGAGATCCCAAGATCTAGGTTCAAAGGGACAATCGAGTTGTGAATGACTCAGAAGGATCACTGGGGAGTTTATATCCTACCCATTTCTTTGATGAAATAGTGATGTCTGCAACGGTTTAGGTTAAGTAATACTTTTAATGATTCTTATATCTAGGTAAACCTGGTGGAGTATGGCAGGATACTTTTCATAAGAATCACCTATGTGAGTGTGAACTGGGCCGGTTCTATAAGATTTGTGAAGGGCTACAAGTCTTTAGAGCACTCATTAAAGACCAGGTTGTTCGGGGCAAAATGAACACAATAGTGAGAACTAAACTGTGTTTGGAGATATACTGTGTGAGTTCTATTGTCTTGGTTTACCCAAACGGCTGAACAATTCAAGACATCATGTTCACTGGTTAGCTAGTAAATCCGATAGTATCTCACAAGGGAAGGTTCAAAGCCAAAAGCTACCTATCCTTTGCAGAATATTTCCAATTTCTGTACTCTCTGTATTTACATCATGTTGTTGCATTTTCTCTCTGTCAATTTCATTCATGTGGGGGATTGTTGGAAAATTTATAAAGAGGTAGTTGTGAATTGAAATAGACTCCATTTTGAATGAAAGGGTGTAACTTTTCATGGTGTCTCTTTATTTTAAAGGAATAGGTATGTCCCTTTTTCATACCTTTTCTATTCAAATTGAATAGGTGCCAACAAAGCCTATATAAAGGCAGCCCCATTCTAATTTTGATTGATCCGAAAAATTCAGTCTGAAATTCTTGTCTCTTTGCTGTCCATTTTCTTTTAGTGCATTATTCTTCATATAAAATATTAGGAATAAATTTCAGAGAGTTATAGAACACAAGGTTCTAGTTTGCCGGACAAATTTGTTTGAAGTGCTTCTACAAATTTGTGAAGATCATTGTATCCTGGGAGATAGACACCACTCAACCGTAAGCACCGTAGCGGGGCGAATCTGTCTTAAGGACAGAATGTCACACACTCGACTTGGTCTTAATTTTAATTCGATTCGATAAATAAATCCGGTATGTTATTTATTTATTTTGTTTGATTTTATTTCAAGTTATTTTATTTACACAGAAGATTGATCCAACAATAGTAAGTACAAACTCATTAAATAGTAAGTATGATTTAATTGAATAGTAAGTGAAATCTAATCAAATTATAAGTGAAATCTTATTCAGTAATGTTGGACCATTTTAATATCTTTTATTTATTTATTTATATATTTTGTTCATGAATCTTCTTTTACCTTGTTCATGAATCTCATCTTGTTCATGAATGGAGATTCATTATTTTGGTGACCTTTTATCTTGTTCATGAATGGAGATTAATTATAATTCATGAATTAGGTGGTGAGTTAATATTTGGATACACTCTCCATTTTCTCTAGGTTCATGGTCTTTATTATTTTTTGGTGTAGTTTGTAAATCCTAGTGGTCTATATATAGTTCCTCTCATCTACTCTTTTCTATACCAACACACCAACTATTTTCTATACAAGAGAGATTACTAGCAAAGAATGATGGTTTTCTTGGTGGAGCTTTGGGTTCACCATCTTGTGCAGAGTTGGCCTGAACCATACGATAAGTAGTCAGGCTGTTATATCCTGTAAAGGACAAGTCATAGTTTTGTGACTGCTGCACCGGCATTTGGGTTCTTCTTACCGCAGTGGACTTGATCTCCTTAAAGAAAACAAGTTATCCATGCCTCAGCCTGATCTATTTGTATCTCATTTTCTTTGCATTATTTATCAATAAAATATAATTTTTTCGGGTATTTTCACCAACAATTTTAAGGAAATCAACCATGGAACAAGTACCAGAAAAAACCAATGATGGAATTGGAGATCTCAACAAGCCTTTCAAGTTCAAGGGAGTTCATTTTAAGAGGTGGAAAGGAAAAGTTCTTTTTTACCTCAGCCTTTGGAAAGTTGCATATGTACTTACCGAGAAGAACCCAAACAAAATCCCAATCGAAAAGATGAATGATGAAGACTACGAGGCACATGAAGCAAAAGTGGTTTCCTACAATATAGATGAGTATAAATGTCATTTTTATCTCTTAAATTTCCTTGCTGATTAATTTTATGATTATTACTATGACACCACTTACAGTTTGTTTTCTATTAATTTTTGGCATGCTCGCTTGTGTCATATTAACAGTAAATATGTGGGAATCATGAGTAGTTTAGGATTAATTCCTAAAGTGACAAAATTTTTTGAGAAATGTGAAGTTTGCAGTAAAGCAAAAATTACCAAGAGGCCTCATAAAAGTGTTGAAAAAAATACCGAATTGCTAGAATTATTTCATACTGATTTGTGTGAGTTTGAAGGAATTTTAATTTGGGGTTGTACGGGGAGCAAATATTCCGGCAAGCCCGTACTCCTTTCTTCCGAGCTCCGTCGATGTCCAATCACCTGCGAGCAAGTAACGGTGAGCTACCCGGCGGTGTGTGGCCGGAAAAACCCTCCGACGATCAAGTTAGCACACACCTTATGATGGATAGAGAGAAGGGAGAGAGTGTTTGAGTGTAAGAATTCCTTACAGAGATGTTCGTGTGTCCGCGTATGGGGGGCGCAGACATGCTTATATACCCTCTGCGCCCCATATCCACTCCCAGTCATCTCCTGACACGTGGCTCCGCTATCCCATCTGTCAGCATAAACCTTTCTGAACATCACCTAATCCAACTGTCCGCCCATTCTCCTGGGAGCTCGGCAGCCGGGCAATTCCATCTCGGGCATCGTCTGCCATGCTGCGCTTCATGCCCAAGTACTCCAACAGCTAAGCTTAGATGAGGACCGGACTCGGCGGCATCTCGGCAAAGCCGAGCTCGGGACTACTCACGCTTGTCTGCGGTCGACCTACCTGCCGAGCAAACAGGTACCTCGGTTCAACCTTGCCTTTCCGGGTGCTGGACTTTTCACCTGACCGGCTTCGTAATCACGGATCCTTACAGCTCGGTCAATCAACGCGCTGCCTTAACCGAGCAGCTTCCTTCAAGGCCGGGCCACGCAACTTGGCCCAACACCTGTTCGGCCCAAATCTGTCTGGCACAACTCTGCCCGGCCCAAATTTGTCGGGCACAACTCTGTCTGGCCCAAATCTGTCCGACACAACTCTGTCCGGCCCAAATCTGTCCGGCACAACTCTGTCCGGCCCAAATCTGTCTGGCACAAAGTCCATATCATTAATCTCCCTCTCAGGGGTGATAACCGATATTTTATCACTTTTATTGATGATTTTTCAAAAAACACAAACGTATATTTATTAAAAAATAAAAGTGATGCTTTTGAGAAATTTAAAGAATTCCTTCTTGAAGTGAAAAATTAATTCGGTAAAAAGATTAAGAGAATTAGAAGTGATAGAGGCCGGGAGTATGAATCTCTAGGATTCAACTCTTTTGTTAAGTTATTGAGAATTATTCATGAGATTACTCCACCATATTCACCTTTATCTAATGGCGTAGCTGAAAGAAAAAATAGAACATTAATTGACTTGACGAATGCTATGCTTATTGATTCAGGTGCTCCTTCAAATTTTTGGGGCGAGGCTATTTTGACAGCTTGCCATGTAATAAATAGAGTGCCACACAAAAAGACTAATATTGTACCTTTTGAGTTGTAATGGGGGTATAAACTAAATCTAGGTTATTTGAAAGTTTGTGGTTGTTTAGCTTTTGTGAGGCTTGTAGATCCTAAATAACCTAAATTGGGTGAACGAGCTACCACATGTGTTTTTCTTGGGTATGCGTTGCATAGTACAGCTTATAGATTTTTTGATATGGAAAATATTATTATTTTTGAATCAGGTGATGTTGTTTTTCATGAAAATAAATTTCCTTTCAAATCTAGAAATAGTGGGGGTCAAATAATTTCTGAAAATATTTTATCCGTGCCTAGCTCTTCTAGTCCATCTCAAGTTTTTCAAGAACAAGAAAATTCTCAAATTCAACCAAGGAGGAGTACATGAGCTAGAGTTGAAAAAGATTTTGGCCCTGACTATTATCTTTACAATGTGGAAGAAATTCCTCTTACAGTGTAAGAAGCTTTATCATCACCTGATGCTTTTTTCTGGAGAGAGGCTGTAAATGATGAGATAGATTCACTACTTTCAAATAAAACATGGAAGCTAGTGGATGTACCTCCAGGTT